CTCCAGGGGTGGACTGGCACATGGTGCTTGTAACCAGAGCTCTTAACAAAAATGGGTCTGAGATTTTTAAAGCCGGGGTCAGGGGGGTGGGCTTAAACTTTGTAATTTCAGATCTTTAAGCAGTTTTTTTTTCAGGGGTAGTTTTGGTTTGGGGGAAATGATCTAAACAGACAAGGTTAGATATACTAATATTGAACCAAACCCTTTTCTGGAATGGAAGTTTGAGAGCTCCAACTCCAAAGACCTAAACTTTTCTGCGTCATAATATCAAAAGTTGCCTTTATTATGGGTGGAGCTACATCTCTGTAGTTTAAGATGCCTTAGGAGAAATACTTCCTTTAAGGTGCAAGTGTGGAGTCCCTTAGCCTGCATGGGAGTGTTTATTTTAGTAGAGATGCTTGGCTTCCTGTTTGAACAGCCTCTCACAGGAGACGGGGACTGAGGGCTTTAGGGCTATAGGGAAGCTACAGTTCTGGTTTCTCACTTCATGTGGATTAAATGCCATAAAAAGGAATGGGACTGGTCTAGGCTTAGTACAAAAGACTGGCCTCATTATCTCACACGTGGAAATACTCAAACACAGACTCAGGCAACGTCGTCTCTCGGATATTTTGCTTTTATGTCATGCTCTCACAGCGGCCATCGGAGCGGACTGACCCCACGAGTGGGGGAGGGCTGGAGTTTCCTCAGAGGAAGTGGACAGGAAGCGGGGGTGGGGGCAGGCTTGAGACCGGAGAGACTTCGCGGAGAGCTCTGGTCTTCTCCCGGGGCCTCTGGAGATCCGGGCCTGAACTTTCGTCGGGGTGAACTCACTGGAGGTCACTCCCGAAGGGAGCAGATAAGCAGCCCCTGCCAGGGAGCCAAGCCTGGGAACTGGGCAGGAAGGCACCTCCGCGGCCCTGACACAGCCTGTGCTTTGCGTAGCCATTTAAAAAGTTGCCAGTTTCATCATTCCTTTCTCTTATCCTTAACCTTTCCATAAAATTTTGCTAAATGTTGCACTCTAGTCCTGGTCGTGCTACCGGAGATGAAAGGAACAGTCTGTGTCCACCTTTGGGAACATTTAGTCAAAGGAAGAAAAGCCTTCCTTTGAGGCCAATGAGGCTATGGTGGCTGAAGTCGTGGGGTGGCGGGAGGTGAGAGGCGACAGTGGAGGAGCTGTGCCGAACAATCCGGAAGCACGTGGGTGGTGGGGGCAGTATGGGTTTGCGGAGGACCTGAGCCTCTGGGGAGAGTAAAGACTTCCATGTGGAGAAGAGCCTCATAAAAGATCAGACTTCCTGTCACCAGGTAAGATGAAAGCTTGAGCCACCATCTTTGGACATTACAAGGTAAACCTGACCTCATTTTTAATCATAGTCTGGTGAGGTCTGGGAGACTGGATATATGCATCTGGAATACTCTATAAAATACAGTCTTTGTATTTTAGTAACTTATTTACCATAAGGTTTGCAGAACATAAAAGCAGGCCTAAAAGAGGTTCCCAACCAAATTTGTAGAAATCATATTGATCATATGCCGTTTATCCATTTATTAGCAGTCATGTACTGGACTCCAGCATGTGCCAAGCAGTACGGGAGAAATCAAAGTGGATCCACTGAAACTAGCTGCTATAAAGTGCTCCTTAATGCTCAAGGTAGAATTAGGATCACTTATTCAATTCTCCTAATTAAAGAGAAAAAATGACTTGAGCCCTCTCATGCTAGGTTA